TACGTTTTTGGTATAAATTTTGTACTTTCAATCTTGCCCGGCTGCTTGAAGACTAAGAAAACATAACGGTGTAAGCCAGTACTCTCTRGTGGACCAGAGCCAATATATTTCGCAAGAGTTTGACCTTTCGCTACGTTATTGCCTGGAATATTAATAACCAACCAGTGTCAAATTTCCCGACTAGTTGGTTTGACACGTGAGGTGCATCGGGGTCCACCATAGTCAAGGTATACATAGCATCATCTTCCGCCTCCCAACTGACTGTGGGTTGATCCTTTACCTGAGTAGGGGTCAGTTCCTTACCAAGTTCTACTTCAACACCACTTGGATAAGTAATCTGGACTATTTATTATATTTATAATTATTTTAACTTATTTCATATAAAAATATACTTTGGAAGTTACCTGTAGTAAACCACTAGGCTTATTGTCAATAATATCGGGAACTATGCCACTTGAATCCATTTTGCGTCTACGTCAACTGTTTGCTTGAATATGACTGAACAGTATAACATTTTTAAGTTTTTCTACTAGTTCTACTAGTAGTTTTTCAGCTATCTTATCTCTATAAATATATACATATAATAAATGTAAAATAATAAAAATTGCAATTATAAATATATATACATACATTAGGGTGTTTTTTTATCGCTATCATTAATACTTCTCGAGATATTCGGCTTTTTAAGTAAGGCTTTATGGAATTTTTTAGATTTTTTAGCTAACACACAACGTGTGCAGCCTGACTAAAAAAAATCGAATATACAAATACAAAAAAATGCGAATTTCATGGAAAAATCGGGTTTAGAGCTCCGTAATACCTCGCCGGTGTGAGTTACGACTTTGTTGCACTAGGCACTTTTGTAGAGTGAAGAATTCTGAGAAATATGCGGCTAAAGTCAAAGGGATGCCATAAAAAACCTCTGATCTGTAGGAGTAGGTTGTTAAAAAAGTCTTGCGGTAATTTTATTGGCATCCAGGTAACCATATTGGTGCTGCGTATTTAAAGACCGGCCGGCCGATTGCCTTGTAAGTTGCCAACAACGTTTCTTTGTCTTTTCCCCATGTGCTGCCGTTAGCGATTTGAGGATTTTGTTGCGGCTCTGTACCTTTCCGATAATCGCGGTCGTATGGGGAGAGAATAGACTATCGAAGGTTACACCTAAAATCTTAGGGTTATTGACAGTCGGAATATTGACGCCATCGACTGCAATATTAAGTTCAGGTCTATACTCCTTCGTCCAGTTTGTAAATATGCTCGCTGTGGATTTGGTGGGGGAAAGTGTGAGGTTCTGGGCAGTGAGGAAACGAGAAAGGTCGGTGAGGTAGTTGTTTACCTTCGAACACATGCCATCGATTCCATTGCCCGACGTCAATATCATGCAGTCATCTGCGTAAGAGGTTATGCAAGCCTCCTCTGGTGGTTGTGGAAGATTCGAGATGTAAAAGTTAAACAGTAATGGGGAGAGGACACCACCCTGCGGAACCTCCTGTTTAATTCTTTTCAGTTTAGATGTTTCACCTCGTAATAGTACGGATGACTTAGGACCGCTCTGATAGTTCATGGTCCTCCACCTAGAGGAAGCGTAGTTTTTTCAATGTCCTGCTGTAGCGTTATGTGGTTAACCGCGTCAAAAGCTTTTGACAGGTCCAACGCTACGAGGATCGTTCTCTAACAGGGTGGTTTCTATTTGAGGCTACGAACTATCTGAGCATTTATGATGCTAAGTGCTATGGTGGTGCTGTGCACTTTTCGGAATCCATGCTGTTGGCTGGCTAGGCTCAGGTGGGGAGTGAAAGTAGGGAGTAGCAAGGCCTCAAGTATCTTCACTACTGGGGAGAGGAGAGTTATCGGTTGATAAGATTCCCCTTTGTTTGCGAGTTTCCCAGGCTCCAATAGTGGGACCACCCTTCCTACTTTCCACACATCGTGTATTTGAAAAGTGGTCAGCGACAGGTTGAGGACCTGGGTGAGATATCTTACTCACGTCGAGCCTAGATGCTTTAGCATTAGCATGTTGATTCCATTAGGATCAATGGAATTGGAAGATTTTGTTTTGTTGATGACACCCTGAACCTCCTCATCGGCGCGCAGTCGTTTGGCATTTTGCGCAGCCGTCGGTTAACACATCATTCGGCTTTGTCTACTGAAAGGTGCAGTGTAAAAAAGCTCACGCACTTCTTCGGGTCCGAAGAGGCATGACCATTGAATTGAACTTCAACTCGGTCGTCATGTCTCTTCGGGTTAGACAAAGCCTTAACAGTAGCCCAAAGCTTACTCACACCGGTGGAGAAGTTGCAGGACTTCAGGTGCTCTATCCATTTCGACCGCCTATTGTGGTTCCCATACGCCGAATCTCCAAATTGAGATCCCTTATTCGGGGATCACCGAGATCGGCATGGCGTAAGGTGTCGCCCTCGTTAGTTAAAACGGCTGCTTCGGCTGGGAAGTTGGGGCGGATTTCCGCTATTCRTCCAACTGGGATGAAGCGAGCGGTAGCTGCTGCGATCACCTTGCGGAATTGACGTTCGCCAACGCATACGTCCCTAGGAATGGGTAGAGCGTTGAAGGTGCTCTCAGTAAATTCTGTGAAGCCGACCCAGTTAGCTTTGTTAAAGTTAACGAATGTACGGTTGCCCACAGAAACGAAATCGGCAGGTTTCTCCATCGACGTAATTATGGGCAGATGGTCTGATGCGAGAGTTAGCATAGGTCGCCAGATTATGCTTTTTATTTGACCACCACTAGCAATGGTTATATCAGGCGAGCTACTACAAGTGCCCATAACTCTGGTGGAGGCTTCGTCATTCATTGTGCAGAATGTCGAATTGTCAAAGATCGTGGTGCGCGTTAAAGTCGCCTAGTACCAAACGGTTTTCACCACGAAGTAGCGCGCCTATATTCAGGTGATATCCTGTAGGGTATCCTGGTATATATATTAAATATTTCGAGCCCGACATCGCCTGACCGCATAGCTATATCCTGACATTCTAGGGTAGTATCCCTGCGGTCGATCTCTTCATCAATTAGACGATACTGAGACGATATGAAGGCCAGGCCACCACCTTTATCTCGCTCGCGATCTTTACGTAGCACGTTGCACCGGCACAACTCAGAAGATCTGAGCGGCTGTTCAGCTTGGTTTCTTGGACCGCAGCTATCGATACGGGCTCCCGATTAATGAGTGCAACTATCTCCTCCGCTCCGAGTCCGTTGCAGTTAAATTGAAGTAGCCGGGTTTGTCGCGGGTGTCCCTGGGTAATCCTGGGGGTGCTCCATCCATAGCATGTATTGCACCTGACCGATGTGGAGTTTGGATGGAGCTTTTTTGCGCAAACGCAGCAGAAAAATTCCTCCGGGCCCGGGTTAGATTGCTGTAGGGCGTTGCTCCAATGAAGACAAACACAAATTAACACTCTCCCTTTTGCGAAGTGTTGCCATATTTTGTTTTAAGCGTAATAACAAATAATTTACTAGTCACCATTTCGAAAAGGGCAGCAACTTATAAATTAATGATATTATGTATATGATATGATAAGATTAATTTGATATACGTATTGAGACAATTTCCTGCAAGTGTATATATATAACTGCATGATATCAATTTATTTTTGGTTGCATTAATTAATTTGATATCATACTGTTATTACTATTCTTTATCCCCAACGCATATCACTAAATGTGAAAAAAACAACACTTACATATGTGATCGATAAATCATCGACTTGGTGTTGACATTCTTCAGAGAGAATCAGCTGTTCACCTGTTTTTTTTGTTATTGTTGTTTTTGTTTAATTTTTTTTTTTAATCTTATCATTGAGCAACTGGACATAATTGCTACTCAATATAATTACCCAGGATTGCATAATGTTCCCAATGCAACCAAATCTGTATAGCCGAATCCTAAAGCCGTTGGTAAATTGTGCAATAATGCAACGCAATAATCACATAGAAACGAAAGTAAAACTTAACGACGGCGTCACCATCAATTATGTCCAAACGGGCAAAGGTGACAAAAACGTATTGCTAATGCCTGGTGCACTTGGAACTGCCTGGACAGATTTCAAACCACAAATTGAAAAACTACCTGAGCTGCTACCAAATCATACAATAATTGCATGGGATCCACCCGGTTACGGAAAGTCGGTACCGCCAGAACGACACTTCGATCTCGACTTTTTCCAAAAAGATGCACGTTGTGCTGTAGACCTGATGCGGGCTTTAGGAAGACCCAAATTTTCTATACTAGGATGGAGTGATGGAGGCATAACTGGCATCATTGTGGCGGGTCGTTTTGTTGAATGTATCGAAAAATTAGTTATATGGGGTGCCGGTGCTTATTTGAATGCTGAAGAGGAAAAAGCAATGCGAGGCAAGTACACAATAATATTATAACACAATACATTTATCTTACAGCGTGTAATTTATTTTACAGACATACGAGATGTTCAGAAATGGTCACAACGGAATCGTGAAACAATGGAGAAAGTATACGGTGTGGAGGGATTTCCAAAATTGTGGTCTGCGTGGGTTGATGCTGTTGTTGCAATTTATAAGGAGCGTAAAGGAGACTTTTGTTGCACAGAAGTGACCCAAATAAAAGCCCCCACTTTTATATTGCATGGCAAGAAGGATCCAATGATTGCCGCCGAGCACATACCATATCTAAAGGAACTTATAAAAGATTGCAAGTAAGAAATTTTACCTTTTTTCAATGTTTTAGAAACATGTATATTTCTGCAATAAGTAGTCATTTGATTATATATTCTTCATATTTCCATAATATTTCAACAATTTGTGATTAAAAATTAATGCATGCATTTTAAATTTTTAGATATTATGAATTCCCCGAAGGCAAACATAATATTCATCTCCGTTATGCAGACGAGTTCAATAAATTGGTAGCGCATTTCTTAACGCAGAAGCCCTAACATCGTACTGAAAGCAAAAGAATTGTATATATGTATATTTATACCCGCTGACATTTATCTCGCAGTCTACATATCCGATTGTGGTATTGTTTTATTTAATTATTAACTCGTCTTAAGTAAACGATCAAACTTTTTATTTGATATATTTGTTAAAACATGCGTATGTACATATATAAATAAAACAAAATAAATCTGTTATATTATATGTTTCTACAATTAGTTAACAGTTTGTGCTCTTAATACCAGCACATAATCATCGTATTGCGCCTGATAAAGGTTTCCAGCGATCGGATCACCCAAATTATGTTTTGCAATGGAATCTCTTGTCGTCACCTTTATACGACCTTCACGAGACCTGCACTCACACATATAAAATAAAAAATATTTTAAATTATTGCATAATATGACAAACTGAAGTTTGTGCAAAACTTTGAAAATTTTAATATTTCACTTACGTTTTAGGTATGAATTTTGTACTTTCGATCTTGCCCGACTGTTTGAAGACTAAGAAAACATAACGGTGTAAGCCACTGCCCTCTGGTGGACCAGACCCCCTGTATTCCGCAACAGTTTGACCTTCCGCTACTTTATTGCCTGGAATATTAATAACCAACCAGTGTAAAATTTCCCGATAAATTGGTTCGGCACGTGATGGTGCATCGGGGTCTACCATAAACAAAGTATACAAAGCATTATCTTCCGCCTCCCATCTGACTGTAGGTTGATCCTTTACCTGAGTGGGGGTCAGTTCTTTACCAAGTTCTACTTCAACACCACTTGGATAAGTAACCTGGATTATTTATTATATTTAGAATTATTTTGACTTATTTCATATGAAAATAAACTTTGGAAGTCACCTGTAGTAATCCTTTAGGCTTATTGTCAATAATATCCGGGACTATGCCACTTGAATCCATTTTGCGTCTACGTCAACTGTTTGTTTGAATATGACTGAACAATATAACATTTTTAAGTTTTTCACTACTATTTTAATCAGTGCATGAATATATTTTGATTTGATTTCAGTAAGACACTACTAATACTGCAAGTACTGATAACAGTATCTACTAGTGGTTTTTTATAACTATCTTATCTCTATGGATATATGTACGTATAATAAATGTGTGGGTGTAAAAAAATTGCAATTATAAATATATATACATACATTATTCGGACCACTATCTTGTCGCAGCCAAGATTCGCACCCGCCTCTGTGCAGCAAAAAACGMACGCCATCAAACACAAGGAAGGTTCGACGTCGAGAAGGTGCAATCACAACAGACAGCCGAACGATTTTCTACTCGGCTTGCACTCCTGMTCTCTGAGAGCACTCGTCAACAACTCGGTCTAAGGGAACTGTGGGACGGCATTTCAAACTCTTTACGTACAGCTGCAACCGAAACCATTCTTACAATAAAACAGCTGGTACGGCGAGAAGTGCCGTGTATCAGCGGAGAGAAACAGGCTGCCTACCTCGCAACGTTACGATCGACCACAACACGTGCGGGATGGGATAGATATCGTTGAAGAGAGACGATTGCAGACAGAAAAAGAAAGAGGCCGAAATGCGTGAGTACGAAGAGCTTGATAAGCTGGCCGACAGGGGTAATGCTCGAAAATTCTACAAAAAATTCGGCGGCTTACAGAAGGCTTCAAGACCGGATCATACTCTTGTCGAACCTCCAAAGGTGATCTATTCACCGGAACCCAGAGCAAAGGTAAATTATGGAGGGAACACCTCTCTAGCCTGCTGAATGGCAGTGAACGCACAACACCAAGAGAAGGCGAACCCGATTCCCCAATCGATGACCATGGAGCAGACGTTCCATTGCCCCACCAGGAAGAAGTTCGAATAGCAATTATCCGCCTGAAGAACAACAAAGCGGCGGGGACCGATGGATTGCCAGCCGAGCTATTCAAACACGGCAGCGAAGAACTGATAAGGAGCATGCATCAGCTTCTTTGTAAAATATGGTCGGACTAAAGCATGCCCAACAATTGGAATTTAAGTGTGCTATGATCAATCCTCAAAAAAGGAGACTCCACAATCTGCGCCAACTACCGTCTGATAAGCCTCCTCAACATTGCATATAAGGTTCTATCGAGATATTCACCATGCGCCAAATCTTGGAAAAGACCCGTGAAAGGAAAATCGACACTCACCACCTCTTCGTCGATTTTAAAGCTGCTTTCGACAGCACAAAAAGGCCTTTATGCCGCGATGTCGAAATTTGGTATCCCTGCAAAACTTATACGGCTATGTAAGCTGACGATGAGCAGCACCAAAAGCTCCGTTAGAATCGGGAAGGACCTCTCCGAGCCGTTCGATACCTAGCGAGGTTTCAGACAAGGCGATTCCTTATCGTGCGACTTTTTCAACCTGCTTCAGGAGAAAATAGTTCGAGCTGCAGAACTAAATAGAGAAGGGAGCATCTATAAGAGTGCACAGCTGCTGACGTATGCCGATGGTATTGATATCATCGGCCTCAACACACGCGCCGTTAGTTCTGCTTTCTCCAGACTGGACAAGGAAGCAACACAAATGGATCTGGCAGTGAACGAGGGCAAGACGAA